TATTTACTTTAATAATTGTGCCATTTATGTCTACAAAATAATTTTGTACTATCGTACTACTTGTTATTATTTGTAACGTATATCGCTTGCTCATTTGTGTTCAATCTTTAGTAACCCTATATTAACCCGTATGTTTGAAACTCGTTACCAGAGAAGTCGCGGGAAGTTTCGTGTAGGTCAATGGAGCAGTGAAGGAAGAACGTTCGAAAGCCTCTACCCTTCCACACACGTCAGCCACCAAGCAGGAGGTTAGAGCTCGTCCGGGTGGAGTTTGCCCCGCTGGGAGGAGTTATCTGAAGGGGAAATCCCCTCAAGGCGACGCATAATTCGTCGCAGACACCTCCCGAGACAAACATTCACTATGCCATCGCGTCTGATGACGTGCCAGGGGTCATCAATCAATCGTAATAAAAAGCATTGAAAACAATTTCTTTCTACGTAACTCCGATCCACCTAGTCGCCTGCGCAGTGCAAGAGTGAACCCCTCAAAGCTATTCTGAGGTCGCCCTCAGTGCTGTACTCACCGCTGCCCTCGTGCAGTCCATGGCAAGACCTCGTGGGAGACAGACGCTATTGCTCCCTCCGCGACACATTTTATTCCTCTGGCCGCTCCACCCCCACATCGTCCAGCGAAACGCAGGACTGGAAGAAAGTTGCTGCTATTTTTATTTTATTATTCACAGACGTGAATACGTGTTTGGCCGCAACTAATTTGCTTCGCTGTACACACGCCTCTGTGTCCCATTGCAATGCCCCCTGTTATCAAATGCCTCGTGGCCGATGGTCGCTTGCGACGCGCCCTGCTTTCCCCCGCGCCGACGCGCCGGAAAGCGAAAGGGGCGGAAGGGGGGCCCAATATTGCGGCCTCGGAAGTGTTTCACAATCACAGGGGGTCTTCCGTAGAGGAAGCACGTACCAGCCCTTTTCTTCATATTTAAAAGAAACCGACGGTAGAAAAGGCTTGTCATCTACCTAAACTATTCATTTCCAATGCGCACTGATATGCAAGCACCGATGTATACAAGTAATATACATGAAAATCGTGAAAACAAGGATAGGAGATTATGTGACAGATCGCACATTTTGGTGAATGAAGAAAACTACTACTTCAAATTCCCGCCAATCGTTGTTTTAAATCGAGAAACTATCTAACTTTCGGCCATTCAGGTCGACCAATATGTCGGTGCAACCCTCCGCTACCTCAGCTAATTAAGAGCATATGTATATGAATGCAGTAGTAAAGTCAAAATTAAGCATTTCAAATCCCTAATTTCTACAAAACATTAATACAGGTGTAAATTAAAATTGTGTCACAGTCTAAATGTGTTCTTCTGAATGATTTAATACCAGTTTCACTTTAATATCTTTACTGTTTTTGGTTATTAATATTTAAGTTTATTATGACCTATTGTTTTTAATTTTGCACTTAATCCAATTTATGTTCTCCGAAACTATAGCAAGTAGATAAATTCATTTTGACAGGCGTTTAGACAACATAATTATCTAAATATTAGACTGCTATGGAATAATTTATAGTTATACTTCTTTTTAAATAATTTTTAAAACATGTACTTAAAAATTGAATTTTTTTAAAAGTCTAAGTTATATATCAATTTGTTTTGAATGTGGAACATACATTGTTATCGACTTTATTGTAAATACGGTTCTAAATCTAATCGGTAAATATCAGCTACCTATCTCACATAGTTTTGTTCTATACAAGATTTATTTGATAAAATGAAACTTACGGGAATTTCCCTTTAAAGTCTGATAGTGACTACACGAAAACTCCGATCTGTTATCACATTGATACTCAAATGTAAACACAGAATAAACAAGGAAGAATAGCAAAATGCTGCTGGCGCAAGACTGGCAGACCTACTAACGGTTGCAACAAAATGTATTCTATCGAAATATCTTCTGTAGAACAAAAAATATAATGGAATTAAATTTTACAATTAAGATAATATAAAATAAACTAATTCACCAATTTACAATGGCTATTATACAATAGATTTGGAAAGTGTTTTTGCAAGAAAACCATTCATGCTTCACATTAACAAATTCAAACCAAAAATAATCAGCACAATTTCAAACTTGTGGCTCATTGTTTGGATACAGATCTACTTTTTGTAATAGAAATAATACCAGCATTGCCAGTGATGGCGTTGAAATATTTACTAAACCAGAATTTTTCTTTCACAATGTTCTTCTTTAAACGCATTTGGAAACAACTGCGAATTTCACTGCTACAATTTGTAACTTATATTTACCTAATATCCAAAACATAAAATTCACTGGAATAGATGATATTGTTATGCAACTCCCAAAACCATTTATAATTCTGGGATATTTTAATAGATACAACGTACTGTTGGGATCGTCTAGTATAGCTCGTAAAATCTTTGAGAAATGACTTGACAAGGATGATGATATTCTTCTTCTTAATATAGGCAATGATACCGATTTTTCTACTAGATATGTAAGAGGCAGTGTTAATGATTTTTAAATTTTTTTGATCCAATGACATTGCAATTCGTATTTCTTGGTTTTCTTGTATTGATCTTTATGACAACATCATTACCCATTCACTTCACTGATTTTCACCCATTCTCTATTACTCACCCTCACTAGAAGTGGATTGGTACCAATGGTAATTGCTATCAATATCAATATCAATCAGCTAACAATAATAATAATAACAAAAAAATTCCTGATATAAATGAATGGTCACGAGATCAGTCTAACCATATCATCCAGGCCTTGGCAGACTTAATTAAATCAGCTGCTCAATCGGCAATCACTAAATCTTGGGGGATTGTTCTAGGAGCATGGATATTACAACAAGAGCACTCCACTTTTGCCTCCCATCTCCTTGAAAACAATCACACTTTCGACCACAATACAAAATTTAAGATATTATATTTGGAAAACAAAGATCCAAAATTAAACATTTAGACAATTTTGATATTATAAAACTAGTTCCATTATTACAATGGACGGAATCAACGACCAAACTATTTTAAAATATAGCCCCTTATTAAGTACCCTATCGCCCTACCCCTTCCCCAAATCCCTCGGAGAACAATACACAAAATGGCACCATATTAGAAACACACCGCGAATCATTTTGACCATGTTACCTGGGTATATAATAATATTTTGTAAGTTTTAATAATTGTAAATTTTAAGGTTTAATGCTTTATTAGTTCTACAATTTTTATGCTTTACATTTTATAGTTTCCAAGTTTTCCTTAATGTCCTGTGGAGACACTGAAGATGAAGTAAAATACCTCAAAACTTGTTTTTTTCTGTATAATGCTGTAACTGACGAATAGTTAGTTAATATATTTGTTTGTGAAAGATCATTTCCTTTTCCTTCCGTTGTATTACAATTAAGGATTTCCACAATATTTCTGCAGAAATCACAGAGTTTATTTAGACTTTTATTTCCGAAGTCAGCACATAATATTATAAGAAGGCCAATAAATGTATTTTATTTAATATGAAAGAGTAGGGTAAAAACTAGTATACCCTGGTCATTAGATAACGAATGCGCATTGTATGAATGTATTTCAGTGTTGATATTAAGTGCAAATGTGTTCTGAATATTTTTATTTTGGTTTTAAAGGAATTTGTTTATGATTTGTGTCATATAATTTGTATCTTTTGCTAGTTAGTGGTAGCAAAGACGCCGAGAATTGTTAAGTAAATAAATGCTGCATCGATGCTTGACAACGGCAACCATTATCAAAGGATGTCTTGGTGTTTTCTTCATTGCGGAAAGAAAGGGACCAGTACGTGTTATCCTACAATTTGATGGTAAATCTCCCGTTTCCTGTTTAGGAGGGGGTTCCGCTCTCACGACTTAAATAAATCCAGCTTAGCATACTATTTATTTGTGTTGATAAATGCCAGGAAGTAAATGTTAATATTTCCTTTTACATATATAAAGAAATATAAGGAACCGTTTCAGGAGTACGAGTATCGTAGTCTGAAATTAAGTAAACGTTATTAAAAGCAGATATTTCAAATAGCGTCTCAGTAGCACGCCCAACGTGAGGCAAAAAGATATAAATATATAAATATATATTTATATATATATAATGTAATTGTGTAATGATATAATAATCTTGTGTAAATTCTAAATCAATGCTCGTGGTCGCTTACGACTCAGTTGTTGAAAGGCGAACTTAAATAAATAAAATTTTTAAAAAGTGAACATCATAAAATAGTTTTTTCGTCTTTTCATTATTTTTGTAGGATATAAACACCAATTTACTTCTTTGTATTACACATATTCTAAACTCATAGCATATTGTTAGTCAACGTAGGTTTAATGCATGTTCATGTAAGGTATTTTGCCATCAAGTTCCCACACTTAATTGCAGTATAAATCTAATATTGATTTTCCACATGTAAATTAAGTAATTAGAAAGATACTGTTCTAATAATTAGCGAGATACTGCGTGAAAAACAAAGGAAAGAAGTTTGTTATCATAGGTAATGCCACCAGTGTTTTGAAAATTGTCGATAAGCCCTGACTCGCGAAGCGAGGGTATTTCTCTGAGTATTTTCAAAGCACGAGTCGTATTTAATAGGACTATTCCGCAAATGAAATTCCGTCCAACACAGTTCTAAAATGCGCCAAATATTGAAAGTATGTTAAAATCGATGAAGTTGTACACGAAACTTCTGATGCACTATAACATATCAACAAAACGATCTGTATATACCGCCTCCTAAGATAGATGAGTGGCAGCTTCTTATTGGCCAGTTGGAAGGGGCGGGAAGAAAAATAGGATACGAAAAGCTATAATTATTTTTAGATACAGCGCCGCATTTTATATGTATAGTTGAACACTATTGGTTTTAATTTCACGAGTGAAATAGTCAATGTAAATTGGGAGAAATAAACATAGCATGAAAAAACAATTTGTTGGAGAAAGTTTTATTTTTTAGGTTTGTATCAACATGACCAGACATTTAAACATAACATACGAATATACACTTAGTTTATTTATGACACATTTGTATTAAGACAACAACATCGATTTCACAACCATTTCTACAGTTTTTAAAAGGTGTAGCCAAACATTTCTACCATCTCACGCAATGCCTTAGGAGTAGTTGGTTGTACGAAGGACCGTCTGACGAGATTCGTTGGGGTGCAGGGAGGTTGGGCTAGCGGATGACGTAGCGGCCGGTCTCCACCTCCGCGAGCTGCTGCGGCGAGAGCTTGGCCTCTTCGGCGGCGTTGCGCGCCAGCGCCTGGCGCAGCCACTCGGGCAACTCGGGCTCGCGCGGCAGGTGCGCGCCCTGCGCCACGAACCCCGATTCGGGCTCCACGAAGTACACCACCTGCGCAGCGCCCATCCACTCACTCAGTGCCACCCTCCGCCATTCACTCACTTACGTCAAAAACAGTTAAAACGATGTGCTTCGGGAGAAGTCAATTTGAAGTTACATGTATGGCCAGAAGCAAAAGAAGGGGACTGGATTTGATCGAGATGGGGGTCATTGACCCAGAAGCTAAAGTACAATACTTGTTACGGGTTCTTTACAATTATTTAATCCAAATTATATGTATAATACATTAAATGTCATTGTTAAAATTAATATTACTTTCCTTTTGGATGCTCGGTATAGTCCCTAAAAGTATAGAAACAGTTGTGCAGGAGAAATGATTTTACTTGGGACTTAAACTTTTGTATCGAATTTAATCCTTTAATGTCATCTGGCAAAGTGTTGTAAAATAATATACAGGTATTATATGTGAATTTTTTGTAGTGAGCTGTTGATACTGTTACCTGATGAATATGATTTCTACTATCAATTGGGAATGTGAAAAATGGCTGATGCGTTTCATTTTAATGGATAATTTCTTTGTTATCTTTGCTGTTAATGAGAATAATTAGCTTTTAACGAGCGAATTTATTCCCAAACTGGGCATGAATTTATCTACTATCTAATTTCATATAAAAATCGGAAAACACACATTTTTTATAACAAGAACACTAATTATTTCAGTCCTTTGGGATTCGTATTAACGAGCGTTTACTGCATATTATCAATAAATGTCATGTGCAAATATACTTCAATTTTTAGTAAATAATGTATAAAGTATTCAGCATTAGATATTTTTACTATTTAATTTATGGAGGGGTGATACCATTACTTTTACTGAAGCTAGTACGTCACTGCGAGGTGTCGGTTCGTCTTATGACTCCTGGGCATTGCCAGTATATTGGAGAAGTCAGTTGACACTTGTTGCCCGAAAAGCGATTTTAATTCCCATTTTCCGTTAAATCTAATAATCCATAACGTGAATAATGCGTGCTATTGACTTTTATAATGGCGCTTTGAACGTGATGACGTAAGCTCACCTCAAAGGGGTTGCCCTCGTTGTCCACGTAGCTGTACCTGCCCTCAACGCGCCTCCGCTCGTTGGCGGTGCCGGCGTCCAGCACCTTGCTCTCCTCCTGCGCCGCGATGGAGTTGCCCGTCTCGTAGCTGCAACAGCACACGCCACTCACTCTCCACACGCGCTGCACGTCTTTTCAAGTTCATGGCACGGGGCAACCAGAGTACTTCTTCATTAATGGAAGACTTGAAGTAAAAAAGGATGGAAGAGCCATTTTCATACTTTCCAGAAAATGAGTATATGTTATAGGACTTCATTCATTCATCAATATTCTGGTAAAAACGTAAATTTTACAGAAATGGCACGTATCTCCTTTTTTATTTCAAGTCCTCAATCATACACCATATTTTGGAAACGGGCGAGAAACATAGGAGAAATTAGACAGAGTGCCAGAGTTGGCCCGATTCTCCACAGGAATGGCCATGTCCTTCTCAAAAATACACTTTACTGTGTTGGTGTATCTATACTAATAAAAGAGAATTCAACATGTAATCGTCATCAATTCCACAAAAAGGAGTGTATGAGTAGGTACTAAATATTTACAAGCACTTCTTAAGGATTCCTAATATATTCCGCCAGAAGTTAGTAGGTCTGTGTGCCCGATCTCCATGAAAGATGGCACATCTAGGTGTTTGTTTTCACTCAGAAAGTTTTTGTGATGTTATTTTTGTTGTAACTCTACTAAATGGCGCTGCAGCACCAGATTGTGCTTAATTTTAATTCAATTTCCATTCAAACTGAGCTCCACCTGGGCGTCATTGTTGCTGGGCGTTGCCGTGTGAGAGAGAGCCAGACTGACACAGAGACTTAGACAGAGAGTGACACAGACAGCGACAGATATGCAAGGAGAAAGAGAAAAGACAGACCCACAGAGACACACCGTCAGAGACAGACAGGCAGAGGCAATAAGTTATGATCTGAAATACCTCTGAAAATAACGCTACAAGGACTATGTATTAGAATATATTCGGCGACGACCCACTCTGTCCTAATTCCTCGAGTCTTGTTAGAAGGGCGTAATTGCGTTCCGTGGCCCCCGAATAATCGAGTAGTTTATGTAAGCGGCCGTCGCGGCGGGCGGCGCTGGGCGCGCCCGTCAGTGCGTGCGCTGCATACGGACACTCATGAATAGTTAGCAGCGCAGCGGCGGCGGCGGCGGCGGCCTGCCACTGAACGCTCGCCTCCTCTAGAGCACTAGACAAACATCGCTTGCAGCAAGTCCATTGGTGGAAATCTACCGCGAATGTACCGAGAAAATAAGGATCTCAATCCTTTGTATTATTTCTAGCAATATTCAATTTCAGGGAAAGGGATTATCTCATGAAAGGGATGTTATGATATTTGGCCTCTTGTTTCTGGTCTGGTTTGATGTAAGGTTTAAAGTACTTTCTGAACTAAAATTAACTAACTAAATTAAACGTTTATTAAATATGAGTTCTAGCTGAGTGGAAAAATATCGGCAAGTAACATGTTCATTGTTTCCAATTTTGACTTCGTAAAGAATTATTGCACCCGACGAAACTTGAGTTTACGTATTCCTAAAAAGACGAGACCTCTATAAAACCTCCAATGTTTCATTGACACAGGATTTTCAACACAATGGGTATTCTCCAATATATTTGGCCGCAGTCAAGGCCTTGAAAATTGGAAACTGATGTTCTAGCTTTTTAAGGTTCTTTACATTAAGCCCCGAAATTTCCAAAGTTTTTTGTAATTGCTATAAAACAAGTTTTCTTTTGTTCCTCTTCATTAGGAAGCTGCTAAGTTATTTTACGCTACAATTTTTCCTTGAAGTTTTAAACCTCAGAATTCAATGACTCACCTATCGGCTAGCGCGGTTTTTCGCCGATCAGGTATCCCCCACCAGCAGAGCATCGCCAAGCCAGGACAAGCTCTTAAATCCCCCGGCATGTGAGGTAGTATAGTGCTTGTATGTGCAAGTGTGTGAAAGGAAGGAGGGAGGATAGGACAAGGAAGGGGAAGTAAAGATCGCACACAGTCCGCGACCCGTTTGTTAGGATACTTCTTCGGCTTTCGCCTGGTTTTGAGGGGGAAAAACATGCAAAATCACCGATCAGAGCAACCGGTCGCTAAAATATCCCTGTCGCCGTTGGAACTCGAAAGTAGGATATCCCGGTCAGAGGCAGTGCAGCGGCATCAGCCGATGCTCAGGGAGTAGCAATAGTCGAAGAGCAACCGGTGAGGCAATGCTGCCCGTGGCGCGCATGCGCAGAGGCCTTCGCCTTCGCCTTGGCCGCGCCGCGCCCTTGCGCCACTGGGAGGCCATTCGATTCTCGTTAAGGGTAATTGAACGCGCACGCTGCCCCCCGGGCGCTCCTCGAGGCAGCTCAGCCGACTGCAACTGCAATGACCTCGAGTATCGGGCTATTTTGGGTCGAAATTTATTAATAAACATTTGACCGTTACTGTAACAAGGATAACAGCACCAGTTTGCGGAAATTTGTCCAGTATAAACGTCACACGCAGTCCTGCCGAACGTAAATTCTACATCGTGTAATACGGAATCTTCTCCAAAGAGAGAACAATATTTTTCCCTGTGAGATTCCGCTTTGAGCAAGTTTTACTGCATTATAAAATCAAAACACGTCAGAAGTAATTGACATTCTGTTCAGCTGTTTCAAAGCGGAGAAAGTTGTTGAATCTCTCCAGAGTAGAGCCGTACATGTTTCTCTTAGGGCGTTTGGTAGTTCGGTTCTGCGTCACTAGATGTGTGAAAAGCAATACTTCTCTTCCCCCCAATTTCCTAGTACCCCATTGCGCCTGGCCGTCCTAGACCCAATCCACCCTACGACCCACCCTAGTCACCCTTGCCACCCACAAGTTGAGGAGGTTCAGAGAAAATAGAATAAAAGTATGTGTTCCGTGCAATGATACCAAATTATTTTTTCGATTCGGCAATTAATTATACGAAAATTTTTGGGCTAAGTAGAGTATTTTCCAAATGAAAAGGTTAAATTTATATTCAAAATTAATTTTAACTTAAATGTGCCTTTTTGTATTGAGAAGACGAGAATTGGAAATATAAGTAAATAAGGCCCTTTCGGTCAAGTACGGTAGTTCTATTCTTTGAGATTGAATCTTAAGGTACGAGGTTAAGTAGTCTATTGCAATACCTTTTACTATAAATCGATTTTTCAGAATCAAGAACCCACAAAATATGGATTCTGGCTACACCACGTGTTAGAGAATTTTGTCTAAATTTAACAACTGTATTTATGCACTTTTTTGTTACTTCGGCAATAAGAGTTTTTCTGCCGGTTTTTCCCGCAGAATTACATACCTTTTTCTCTGCGGTAGCGATAAATTAAAATAGAGGAGAAAAGAGAGAGAGAGAGAGAGAGAGAGAGAGAGAGAGGAGAAAAGAGAAAGAGCAGGACAACGTTTGCTGAATTCTGTCGGTAACACTGCTTCAGCCTTAATTAGAGCCTGGCGGTCGACCGCCCTGAAGAGCGTGGCGGAGGGGCTGACCTGTAGACGTAGTTGCCGTCGTGGTTGGTGTCGGCGACGGAGCGCAGGATGGGGATGGGCGTGGGCTGCGCGCCCTGCGGCCGGGGGGCGGCGGCGGCCGGCGCCATCAAGGCGGCGGCGGCGAGAAGCAGCGCCACGGCACTCGTCTGCGCACACAAGCACCGCTCTGCTGCCACCACTGCTGCCCTTGCAAGGGCTGCAGCCAAAGCTACCTCACTACACGATTGTAGAGAAAGCTAAGCGGAAGTTATGGTATAAATAAACATCTTATATTTTAAGACAGAAGCCTCAATGTCTTCTCAACAGAGTTAGAATAAGTGATGATACTGCTTATACAAGAAAAACTCCAGCGTTGCATTTAAATGCATGTCATAGGTATATGCACTGAGAACACATTTTGGTATAAAAAAATAGTGAGATTAATATTTCTGGAATGAGAAGTAAATTGTTATATTCTGGCTCGTATTTTCAGCGGATTTAAATTTTCCAATTTCTCTTTATCTCGGAAACGTTGAAAACTGCAGCTCAAACGCATAGACGTTGACAGTGGCGATCAGAAAAAACAAGCGTCCTGGTAGATGTATGGGCAGTTTTTCCCCCCAAAAAAAATTGAAAATGTAGAAAAAATTAATATATATAAGAATTCTTTAGAGTAATACTACGTACGTATTGTCATTTTTTGCATTATAAGTTAATTCTTCCAATTAGATAAAAAATATTTACATTATTTTTGACTGCATAATTTAGTAATTGTTTCTATCGCAAACTTCCTCACGGGTATTGGCAGAAAGTATTTCCGTGACCGAATTATTAGTTTAATTATTGTTATCTAATATTAGTTTGGGTGACAATAACTACCTGCAGACAATCGTAGTAACTGTTTTTGTGTTTGAGCTTGTAAATGGAACGCGGGTGTATACGGAAGAAATCGCGTCAGTGTGGGGCGATAACGGCACTTTGAATGTCTCACACCCCGGCATTTGACACCTGAATTTTTCATAGCGCTCCCGCTGACAGCTGGGAGCTATCGGCGTCTGCTCTGCATAGCGAAAACGTGATGAGCCCTAAGTTGAAGCGTTTCAAGAGAGGCCGAGAATCTGTGGAGAATGGCAAACATTCATTCGAATGACAACATACACAACACCGGAAACGGTTACGAAGTGCATGGAAAGTTTTGTGAAGATGAAAGGAATGCGATCCACGATGTTTTTGAAAGACTCGTGGGGAGCCATGGTACTGGCATTTCTGCCCAAATCTCGTGCGCCTGAAGAGCATTTTCACGGTCGCGCAAATGACCTTCAGAGTATCTCGCCAGTGCTTTGCGTCGTACTCAATAGCCAGCCGCTTCGGCCCGTGGTGCCCGCCAACTCTAGAAAGCCGTACTCCGATTTAAACGTAGTGCTGCTTCAAGGTCACGAGTCGGACGGATAGGGGGAGGTCCAATATCAAAAATTTAAGTCGTAACGAAGCTCCAGATTAGATGTTAATGTCTCGGCTCGTGACCTTGAGCCACTACATTTGAATCGGAGTACAGTTACCTTGGCCGCAACCTTGACAGTCCTGGTGTGCATTGTGATTCGTTAAACCACATTTGTCGTTATATCGCACGGAGTGAATCTTCGCTAGGCCAATTAATAGTGAGCAAAAGCAAAGCGTGGTGCGGTATTGATGGTGCATAAGTGAAGATAGAAAAAACTGGACAGAAAAGGCTCAATAACATTATATGGACATCGCTTTGGAAGCCAAAACAAATTTTTGATAATTATAACAAGGTCCATCATTAAATGCTCAAATCTGGCTGGAGTTGTTATTCCTGCTTTTTTTCAATAAGTACATCGCTTAATTAAAAATATACTTGAAATGAGTTTTTGAAATTACTACAGGTAAACGTAAATCACTTCTCTTCGTCATCAAAACTGTATAATTTACTGTAAAACTGTACATACCTATGTATATAGTCGTCATTTTCCATTCAGCACTACTTCAGTCAGTATTTTTCAAACTGGTATAGTTATTTGGTAATATTCGATATTTTTTTATCTGTGCGACATATCAAATTTATTTTCTATTGCTGAATTGTAAAAAAATAGTCATATAATTATTTGCGCTTAAATTTACTTCTGAAGAAGAATAAAGTGTATAAATAGCTACGTCTGTCTTCAGTTTGGAAGTGTCTACAATACGAGGGTTGTGCACACATCTACTCCACAATGTACGAAAGACAATCAATACTTCCTACTCAGCCAAATAATAATTTGCATCATCCATGCTTTGTGTAGAATACCCTATTTTTTTAACATTGCCAGTAATGTATGCAGTCTACAAAGTATTAAAATGCATTGCTAATTGAGGTCTGAAACTCTTGATAACAGGTGGGTGAGCGATACGTAAGCAAAGGCAAAGTATGAGGAGACGACGAAAGATATCACCATTACGAAAATAACGATCAGTAAACGCAGAGAATAAATGGACGTAGAAGGTATTTAGAATAAAGAGAAAAGAAGGGAAGGATGGATTTGGATAGAAAGAATGAACGCGAAAGAATTACTTTTAAGGTAGGTACAGTTGGGATTAAAAATGTTGGAATCTGAAGACATGATGGCTTTCGTAGCTGCTCATGATCTCATCGGAAAGAAGGAAACTGCTTCAGTGAGGTGTGTGAGGCGGCGGAGGGTGTTCCCGGGCCGTGTGGACAGAGCTCTCGATAGCTGATGATGTTTGGCCACCAGTTGGCGCCAGCCGCGTTGCCTCACCTGCCAAACATTTCTCTTTCGGCTTCTCTTCTAACCAGCTCCTAAAGTTTTCGAAAGACGGCGTAATATTTACGCAATTAGGCGTGTGACTTTTCCTACGAGATATGCGCTACAGTTAGAGGCCGATGAAATAGAAACGCTCCCTTCCTTACTTACATTTTATACTGATTGTAACAGAAAAATGTTACAGGTACCTCTTACAGATATCTAAATACACATAAAAAGTATCGATCTGTGTTTGGTGTCCTTGAACATGTAAGGAGTAGCTCGTCGTGATGTTGAGTCGAGGTTCGGCACACAGGTTGAGGTTTTTAGCTGTGACGCCGCACATTACATAAATTCTTCAAGAGGTGTGACTAGTCACAGTGATTTCTACTAACATACTCTGTAACGTTTTTTTCAATATTTCAATATGATTGATTTCATTAGTTTGCATAACATTTTAGAACTGACATTGTGAATAAGGACATGGTACATTAATACTGTGGCATAGACATCTAACATTAAAAAAACTGTTATTTATTACAAGCCTTTGTTGAAATTAGATATTTTGAGATTGAAAGATATGAGATGTTAGATATTTTCTTACATTGAGTTCTCTTTCCAAAACCAAATTTGACTCAATTTCATTTCAAGAAGGTGGACAAATGAATAAACAAATATATACCTAAATAAATAAGGTGTCCGAATTAGCCGAACGCTACGCTAGGTTACGGTTTTTTATACGGGTTATTCATACGGGTTACGGCACAGCAATTTTTTTATAATTATCAACATTTCTGCATTAATTTATTTTAGTTAATTACAATCCATCCAAATCAGCATGTCATTTATCTCAGATTCATCTACTATTAATTATTTTGGTAAAATCTCCAAAGAATTAACCAGGCTTAGTCTGATGTCTGCCTTTTAAAGCTATTTTATCTTAAAGCTTTATTATGCAAGGGCAATACCTTTGATATTATCCATAATAACGATGTAAATAACACTTCTTGCATAGAAATGATCTTTTAGATCCTGAAAGGGAGGTAGCCAAGTCTCGTCTGAGAGTAGCAAATCATTCGGAGTTGATGGCTGCGACTTAGTTGCAGTCGTTAAGCCGTGAGTGCATCTCGGCAACATTCGCCCTGTAAAATTCGAACGAGAAGTTCGATGCAAAAATTATGAAATATTTTTGTAACAATGGACTTGAAAGATTGTTAATTACTAATAAATTATCCCGTTCACTTCAAAAACCGGTCTAATTAATGTACAGGCCTCTTAAAGCATGTACATTGTTCTTTATTGCCTCGTAATTTATGGAATATTGCGTTGAACTGAACCAGGTTCCAAAGTGGATGAAATTGTAGCTTTAGAGGATGAGTTGAACTTATTTATGCGCACCTAAACAGCGCAGGAGACTTTTTAAACGTCTTAGTTCACATATATGAAAGTGAAATAGTCATTATAAAAATGCATGAGTTCAGAAGTATAAATGTAAATGAGTCATCATGAAAAATGTCAGAATTATTGTTCTTGAAATGAAAACATATCACACGAAAGTACCGCATTTTTAAAGTACTTATTGATGAAAAGTACGTATCTATTGTCTTAGCTTGTAAACCAATTAGTAAAAAATCCAAAAAGTACGTTTCTCTAGGTCGTTAACAAAAAGAACTCACAATTTCATGTGAAACTTTATTGTATCCGATACAGCACATGTTGCACTGTTTTCCTGACACTATCACCATCAGAACTGCAACATTTTCCATGCCGTGGGATAAACATTTGTAACCCCATGACGTAAAAGTCTGCCTCCTGGGATCGGTGCGCCTCTGACAGCTACACGCAAAATAAAATGTTGGCCCTGTTAGACTGCAGAATCTGGTATCTGGACACTATTTGCAAATGATCCTCTTAATATCGCATCTCTGTATTGTGTCTATCTTACAATCGCATTACTAAACACATGAATAATACATCACCATTATTTCAGCTTCACATTCAACAACTGACTTTTTTGCCAGTTCAGTTTAATTAGTGAAGTATGAAATATTAACTACCACTAACCTTCTAGGTGATTGTCTTCTCAGTAGTATTTGAGAGATAAGATGCATGTAGTGCCCGTCACCGTGGAAGACGCAGCCCATTCAAAAATAATTTTTAATCATAGTAATTACTTGGAACGTTAAAAATATATACGTCTTAAATATGTGCCTTTGTGTAATTCTTATGATCTTTTACATGTGGGTGCATGGTTTCAACGCTGTTTTGACATTGCTAATTTCATTACAAGAGTACTCGGTTACTGTGAGCGAGTTCCAGTTGGAAAGACCAGCTGGGTTTCCAGAATCTATTGAAAGCGAGCGAAATCGCGCGGCGTTGGTCGCCTCGCGACCGCCGACGGCGCCCGACTGTTGGTCGTCGCTCGCCGGGAGGCGTCCGAGGTTCGCAAGCGCCTTCCCGGCCTCACAGGGGAGCGGATTTTGTCTGAAACTTTAACC